GCGCCCCGGGGAGGCTTCGAGGGCGCTCGCCGCACGCTCCCGGCGGCCTCGGAGGGGTGGGCTCGGGCTTTTCAAAATGTGATTTCTAAAACACGAGTTGTAATTTCTGCGATGAGCAACTAAGTGGGGCGTCAATGGAAAAAAAAAAAGTTAATCTAAAATTATTTTCAAAAAGACTTGCGGAAGTTTTCGCTGCGTGACCCAGCTGTGTTGGTGGCGTTCTTGGACTTGGTCCATTTCTGGGACAACGACTCGGCCCCTCCGCCCCGACCTCCGTCCAGCCCCGCAGCCACGCCCCGCGCCGGCCCTCCCTCCAGCACGTCCCTCTTTACCGTAGGTTGCTCGGAAAATCTGGAAAGGTGGATTCGGCAAACTAATATTCCCGGTGGCTCCTGCAGTCGGGTGGGCAAGTTCCGCAGCCAGGTCAGGGTCAGGGATTGGTGTCTTCAGAAGACAGAGGCTTTAAGCGACGCGCGGTCTCTTCTTCTCTGTCTCTGGCAAACTATACAAATAGTGCCCCCGACCCCACGCCCCCAGCTCCGACCTGCAGAAGCCAGCCAGACCCGACTGAGCATGCTCCGGGCAGGGCCAGCCCGCCGCACGCGGCTGCCGCCGGTCGTCCAAGGTTGATGTGGCCGCACTCGGTAGTCACGACCTCGAAGCCCAGGAGACCTGAGCGGGCTCTGAGGACGCGCAGTGCACGCACACGTGGACAGGTCACGCGTGCTAGGGACCAGATGGGTGGGTCTGCGTGGGGTCTGGCTTCCGAGTGAATCTGGTCTTTCGCTAAAAGGTGGATGTTAGAAATCATTTTAACATTAGTTCGGTAGCGTCACATTTTAGCATATAGAACTTCGGCTTGTTTTTCCTTTCAAGAAACTTGTTTCTTTTCAAGTTATTAAATAAGAATTCTTCACAGTTGCCCGAAAGTGCTAAGCCAATCTTTGTCCCTACTCTCAAGAAATTCTGCAGCATTGTAAGCTTTTTTTCTTCTCAGGCACTTCTGTATTCAGTCAGACGCTGTTTCCGCCTTGTTCCTCTTTAATCTCAGAACCTGCAGAATACTCTTTCTTGCTTTCTTCCTTTTTTTGATACTAGGTATCGAACTCGGGACCTTACGCTTGCTTGCCAGGCAGGTGTGGAACCATTGAGCTACATCTCCAGCCCATCTCTCACGTCTTAAAAATACTTGCAGTGGGTGTGGAGAACTTCCTTTTACTATTCATTTGCCAAAGAGAAGACTGAAGTGGAGAAAGGTTACAGGGAAAACATTTTATGGTTTTGAATTAGTAAAGTAAACCCACAGATAGAGATGGAGATAGAGGATTCCTGAGCCAGGCGGGTGATTGGGTTTAGTTATGTTTTCACCTGAGTGATGCAAGATGGAAGCGAGGGTTGGTGAGATGCTGGGGAATAGACTTCATTCCACTCTCTGGGCCTTTCCCCGGGAGACTGAGTTCAGTTTCTGTATGGCTGGAAACATCGGGGTAGCTCACTTTTGGGAGGATATATTTACGTCTGTGCTTCATCTTCTAACCTAACTTGTGCTAGGATTATCCCCATCCGCCTCCCTATCTTTGAGACTCCATTCTTTCTGGGGGGCCCAGGACACAGCTCCTGAGCTTGTCCAAGTCTCCGTAGACATCCACACCACACCTAGTTTAGCCTGGACAGAGGTGTTCCAGCTCTTCCACGGCCTGCATTGCTGCTGCTGCTCCTACCTGCCTGAAGGCTTCTGCTCCCGGTCAGCTATGATGTGACCCTTCCTTGGTTCTCTGACCTCCCTGACTGTTCCTTCTTCTCATCGTCCTTCTCCAGGATCTCTTCCTTTATACAACTCATCGTAGGCATTCTCAGGCATCTTTCCTTCTGCTTCCCTGTGGTTACTGGTATGCACATCTACTTAGCCACTTTCATCACAAATCTGGATATTTCAGTCACTCATTTGCCTTTCCTGTCATCCAGCTGACACTGTCCGCCTGCCCTCAGGCATGGAATAAATACCTCCTTTCCCCCAAGTCACCACTTGCATTGCAGTCTTCAGTCTGCACCATTCTCTCCTTCAGCTATGGAGCAGTGACCTCCTAAGTGGGTCCTGTTGCTTGGCCTCCTCCCGCCCATCCTCTGTCTCCTCAGACTTTTCCTTTTAAGCAAATCATGTTACAGTATGTCTCTAAAAGTCTACCAGTGAATCGGCAGTGCCTTCAGTACAAAACCCAAGTTTTAAGCAAGCGTGAACTGGCCTCTGCCTTCCCCTCCAGACTAATCCAGCTTGTGTCCTGTATCTCAGCCAATCCGACTACCTGCCATGTGAATTCACACTTCATATACATTGTAGCCCTTTCATCTCTCCCTCTCATTCACCTGTCGAATGTTAAGCCTTTCGGATCGTGTTCAGACAGAGCGTCCTTTGGCCTTCCTGGGGTGACTGACTTCACTCTGAATGCTTCACTTGGACTATGTACTTTGTCTTCATTTTGACACCTGATCTTATTTTCTTTCATCTCCTCCACCACACTTTGGGCAACTTGATAGTAAGGGCTATGCCTCAACCCTCTCTGTATCTTTCCTCTCAGTGTCAGCAAATTGCATTTACCTAATGAATGATGGACATATACTGTGTATTATTTAAAGTTTATTTATTTTGAAATTTGTTCTTGAGGACTATAAGAACTGGAAATTCATTGAAAAGATAAAACGCTAGAAAAAAGTCATATCAGATGCAACCTGTTAGGTGGTAATGATCCTTTGAATAATGTAGGTAAGATTTCAGGTTTGACCCCTTAAAGCCAATGAATATTTTCACCTTCAGAATTCAGGAAGTGATGTGTGGGCCAGTCTGACACATCTGTTTTACTGGCTTGTAACTGCGTGATGCTCAACATCATATTACTAATGAATGCACACATTCCATTGTTCTCTGTCACTGTGCTTCCTTCTGTAGTGTTGCTATAACCTTCCAATTAAATGGTTAATCCTTAGAATATATTTTATTTTATTTTTTCTGTTGAAAGCATGCCATCCCAGAAGGACAGATAAACCATTTAGGAATTATTGTAATTTTTACAGTTCTAGCAGCTCAGATCATCAGCTGACACCTAGAACTAAGTGTGGAGGGGGACTACCTGCTTCAGAATCACCTGGGGAATGATGAACTCATCCCAGATTTCCTGGATAGAATGGTCCAGGGGACAATGGATTTAATAGTCCCTCAAGGTGATTCTGCACACTGTATTTGAGAAAGTCCCAAGTCATGTGGATAAAAACAAAAATATTAATTATTATTCCAAAACTCCCAGTAACACCTCATTTTGGTTTCCTTTGCTAGAGAGATACATACATATAGGTGGAATATCAGTCTGTTTTAAAAATTATTAGCCATATTTGTGTCTGATAGCTTTGGCTTATGCTAGAGTCTAGAGGATGTAGAAGAGTAGCCTTCTTCTATGAAATAGCTGCTTCTTTTTACGCTTGTCGAGCCATTCAGGGACTTGATTTGGTAACTGTTAGAGACCCACTGTTGCTCTCCAGCATATTTTCCCTAAATTGTACCCCTTCAGTAGACCATAAGTAGGGAAGTGGAAGTTTTGACCTTACACCCTGTCCAGAAAGGGCAATAAGAGGATAGGATTCTGTATTAGGCTTTTCTTGTTCCTGAGAGTTTGAAAGAGCACCCTTAGGAAGGGGTTGGGGGAGGAATGAAAGGAAGTCAATACTTCTCTCTGCAGTCTTTTGACCTGTTGGCTGGGGAGCCCAAAGCCCCTTGAAAAGGCTGAGTCAGTGTTAGCAAACTATTTCCTTCCTTGTCACGGGTTTAGGCTGTGCACTGAGGTTGAACCTTTGGAAGTATGTGTGCACGTGTGTGGTCTAACCAGTTCTCTAGCTGGAAAAATCAAGGGATTTAATGGCTTGCTTGTAACTCACAGGGAGCAGAAGACCTGGTCTGACAGGTCACAACCTTCCTGACTTCCTTCCAGGATCACACTGAAGCCCTTCTCTCCTAGACATTTGGCTAGCTTGGAACACTAATGGCCTTCTCTCTAGTGGCTTTCTCCCATGCAAGCTTCATGGATTTAGGGACATGGATTATTGGCTGGAGAAGGGATGCATTAAGGATGCTTCGTTCTGTATGTAGGGCTTGGGTTTCCTGAAAGCCAGATATATGCTTGCATGGAATGGTTAAAAGAAGACAGCTGTTGGTGAGCCAGGTGTAAAACAGAGCTCTGAAGACTGACTTGGGAGATGGCTGAGCTCTAGAAGGAACTGCTTTGTGAAGAATTTGACTTTGCAGATTCTTTGCCCTTGGGTTCTGGAAAAATCATCTTTTTTATATAGGCTGGATTTTTGTGCTCCCAGTTCATAATTTTCTCAGGAAGTTGGATAGAGGAGGTTGTGTAACCCAAGTACACACACACACACATCCTCACAGACACACACACATCACACCACACCACACCTAAAGAAGATAATGTATTCTGCAGAAGCGTGGCACCCTGGGTGAATCCTTGGTCCTCATACTAGACAGTGAGATCACATGACCTCCTTCAGAGTGCTGCTCAGGACAGAGGGACTGTCAAGCCTAGAGGTTCTGGCAGCCTCATCTAGACCTCAGCAGGAAGTACTGTGACTGTGCTTCTGCAAATTCAATAAGAAATCCAAAAGTAAACTTAGAAAGTTTCGCTGTGGTTTTCTATGTTGGCAATATTCATACCTTTTTCTCCTTGAGTAGTTGTTCACTAAAATTAAGGGGAAAAATAAAATTCTGTATTTTATCTTTTGGATAAACATAGAGTGGATGGAAGGCTTTTGTGAGGGCAGTGGTTGAGAAGCCAGGAAGTGTGAAGGCAGGATGGAAGAGGCCATCGTAGAGGGTTGGGAGCACAGAGGTCTTGGGCAGAGGGCTGGGGTGCCCACAGAGGTTGGGATGGGGAGAATCAGATGCTGCCTCAGCGGTAGGTGAGGAAGGCTGGCTTTATTTGAAAGACACTAGTAGGCTAAGTAGCCTTGCCTTTGTGGGCACCTGGCTTTTCTCGGGACCTTCCCCTCTGCTAGGTGATAGAATAGTGGAAAACTGTCCAAAGCCTAGCTCCCTCCCTAAGGACCTCCATAGTATGAGGCCCAAAGACTGAAGACATTCACAAGCTTTCTCAACATGAAACAGGGTTTGATTCATTATTCATTTATTTATTTAGGTACCAGGGATCGAACTTGGGCCCTTGCACTTGCAAGGCAGGTGGCAGAACCACTGAGCCAAACCCCTGGCCCTATTATTTCTTTCTTTTTTTCTCCCTCCCTCCCTCCCTCCCTCCTTCTGTCCCTCCCTCTTCCAGCCACCCCCCTTCTGTCCTGGAGATTGGAAGATTGAACACAGGGCATTTGTATGGAGCTACGTCCCAGTCTTTTAAATTTTTATTTTGAGACAGGGTCTCTGTAAGTCACTAAGTTGCCCAGAATGCATTCAAACTTGTGATCCTCCTAACTCAGTTTCCCAGAGTTCTGGTATCACAGGTATGTGTCACCATGTCTAGCTTAACACTAAAACTTTCTTTGGATGATGATATAGTTTTGCTTTGATTAAGGCCCCAAAATGAAATTGCCTTACAAATGAAAA